CGACGAAGCGGAGGCGGAGCATACCTGCACACCCACGCTTTGAGGGTTGGAAGCACCAGAACTGCCGATGGCAGTGTGTGCTTGCTGACGGATGTTTACTGCTTGCTTTAAGCCTTGTCGCAACTATAACTTGAGGGGACATGCCGGACATGCCATCACATGCTCCATGTCTAAGGCAGTTTGAGGACGCCTGCTTCGCTAGACCCCTTGTAGACTTCTCAGGGCAGGTTGGTGACCCTGGGTGCATGTGAGGTGCCTCATGCAGTGGAGCTTTCAAGGTTTTGTTTGTTGCTTGAACGGCAGGCAGGGATCGTGACACTTATGAGCTTTCAGCACTGGTTTTGTGCTTCTGTGTGAAGGGCATTGTACAGCGTGCAGTGTATGCCTTCATGTGCCTTCACAGGATACAACCACGAAGCGAACGGGATACAAGAGAGCAGGCTGCTGAGGGCTAGTGGCCACGAAGCGAGACATGCAGCTCGGACATTGAACTCCATGCGAAACTGCTCCCCCCCTCACTACTTAATATTGCAGGCGCCTACTTAATTAAGTAAGGGAGAAGTAGCTAGTACATACTGTAATACTGTACCTTACTTAAGCTACTAGTATGGACGCAGGATAGCTCACTCTTCTTCAAGGAAGCCCACCGCCGCCCTTTTCATTAGGTTTCTAGATTTTTGGGAAACTGGCTGTGCCCATTGAATGATATGGACAAACACCCACCTTGGGCAGCCTGCCTAATCAAGATGGAGCTGCTGTCAAAGACTTGACGAGCGCTGATCAAAAGTTGTAAAATTGGATAACGGATGATAGATAGAGGCAAGAACGTAATGATTTGTGGTCAATCCACACATCATTAGGCTGGCCAGCAAATTGTGAAAGTGCAGGGGTTCAACTGTTGAATCTTGCTTGACAATAGTGATCTCAAGCCTTTGTACTGTACACTTCTTTTTATACCTTGCGCTTCCATTGCTGGCATTTTCCCCGACACGTATCTAGGAGCTTGGCCAGGAGTGTTTTGCAATGTTTTGCCCACCACGCCAAAGCGGCGCAGAAGGGGGTGGCACTTGATGGCCTTTCTTGGCATTTCACGGTAGCTTGGGTGGCTCGCGAGTAGCAGTCCAGCTGTTGCATGGCGAGAAAAGTGTTCACTGCAAGCGACGAGCCCTTCAAAGTAACAAACAAGTCCTAGATATTAACACAACAATCAATATATATACTGACTATGTATATATATATATATATTGGGTCTGTCCTATTACCTGTAACAGTCAGTAAACAATTATTGCTATTTTTGAACAAGGCCTTTAGTAACCATCGTCATCCACTGTTACAGGTAATAGGATAGACCCAATATATATATATATATTTTTATGACTATATATATATATATAATTGTGCAGAACACTATTATTGTAGTAGGCATTTAGTTGTGTGTTGTCTCGCTTTTGCTGCGACCCAAGTGGTGTTTCAGGCAAATGTAGATCACGTTCAAGATCTTTCAACAGCGATGTGCCAATGCTGTTTGACACTTGAGCTGTTCGAATCTAGTGTATTCCATGCCATTATGCCATTTAGCATGCAGGAGCATGCTATCATCAAATACGAAAAGAGCACATTGGGATAGGTTCACCTTCAACTTCCACAGGGTTGCACACAATGACATAGGCATGTAAAGGGCACAAAGGTAGAAAAACGCGCTTTTGTATACATGTAACACAACCTATTAAAGGTAGAAAAGTTTCGTCGATGCCGTGATGCCCATTAATTGTATAGGCAATTATTTCACTGCTAGCGCCATACCTCCTCACGGGCTGCTTTTCGAGAAACTAAATCATAGGTGATGGCCAGCGCGTCCGCAGCGCGCCTGCAGCGCGTTCGCAGCGCGCTGGTCTCAACAAGATCTTTTTTTGAAGGACACAGCCAGTATTTTTACAGTCCGTTTTTTGCAAAGCAGTCATAGTTTGATGGCATTGGTAAATGCGCGAGCGCGCTCGCAGCGCGCTGGGCTAAACAAGATACTATAGTAACGTATTGAAGGACACAGCCAATATTTGTTTATAGTCCGTTTTTGCAAAGCAATAGTTTGATGGCATTGCAATGGTGAATGCACGAGCGCGTCCCCTGCGCGTCCGCAGCGCGTCTGCAGCGCGTTCGCAGCGCGCTGGGCTGAACAAGGCTATGAAGCACGCCAGTAGTGTGTATAAAAGAACAGTCATATTTCAATTTGATGGCATTGGCGAGTGCACGAGCGCGTCCACAGCGCGTCCGCAGCGCGCTCGCAGCGTGTCCGCGCAGCGCGCTCGCAGCGCGCTCGCAGCGCGCTCGCAGCGCGTTCGCAGCGCGCTCGCAGCGCGCTCGTATGTATTCAAGGGACACAGCCAGTATATTTACAGTTTGTGCATACAAAGCATACTTTGATCGCATTGGTGAATGCACAAGCGCGTCCGCAGAGCGTTTGGACACGAAAATAATAGCGTAAACATGGTCTTTCCTTATTCGATGCAAATAGCGCAACCCAAAGCAGCCCACGCATAGAGCGCCGGAGCCAAGTCCATAACTTTACTTTTTCAAGGCTGGCCTTCAAGCGCTCCACCGACCCCCCCTCCTCTGCCTTCTTCGAAATTGCGTAAACATGGCCGGCTTAAGCCCAAACCCGCGTCTTTTAGCATCGAAATTGCGTAAACATGGCCCGCTTAAGGACCAAATTGCGTAGCCATGGCCCGCTTAAGCCCAAACCCGCGTCTTTTAGCGTCCAATTTGCGTAAACATGGCCCGCTTAAGGATCAAACCCGCGTCTTTTAGCATCGAAATTGCATAAACATGGAAACTAATTGCGTAAACATGGCCCGCTTAAGCCCAAACCCGCGTCTTTGAGCATCGAAATTGCGTAAACGTGGCCCGCTTAAGCCCAAACCCGCGTCTTTGAGCATCGAGATTGCGTAAACATGGCCGGCTTAAGCCCAAACCCGCGTCTTTTTAGCATCGAAATTGCGTAAACATGGCCCGCTTAAGGACCAAACC